CCGAGCTCCCAATGCAGGGGGTCTGGGTTCGACCCCTGGTCAAGGAACTAGATCCCACATGCAGCAACTAAGAATTAGCATGCTGCAACTAAAGATCCCGCACATTGCAGTGAAGATCCTGCATGCCTCAACTAAGACCCGACACAGCCAAATAAACAAATATTTTAAAATAAATACATAGGACATCGCTGGTGGCGCAGTGGTTAAGAATCCACCTGCCAATGCAGGCCACACGGGTTCGATCCCTGGTCCGAGAAGATCCCACGTGCCGCGGAGCAACTAAGCCCGTGTGCCACAACTGAGCCTGCATGCCACAACTACTGAAGTCCACACGCCTAGAGCCCGTGCTCTGCAACAAGAGAAGCCACCGCAATGAGAAGTCCACGCACCGCAACGAAGAGACCCCGCTCGCCGCAACTAGAGAAAGCCCGCGTGCAGCAACGAAGACCCAACGCAGCCAAAACTAAAAATAAATTTTAAATAAATACATACATAAAATAAAGATATGCTTCAGCTGAGAGTCATTAGGGCCACAGTCTCCTTTGCAATAGCCCCATGTGGCTGGTACTTAAGCCAGCCACTAATGATGGCGCCTCACCCTTGACACTGGAAACGTCAATGCTCAGGTTCAGGTTCTCCCCGCTTAAGGCTTCAACTCCTAATATCATAGAACTCATTGAGGACATACAACGGGTCCAGGAAGCATCCTCAGTAGTCGTTAACCTACTCACCAGTTCTATTCTGTTCCCATTATGGAGGATGGGGACATGTTCCTTGGGGAGACCCACCACTCCCTCGGGCAGGTTGATTTCCTTGGCCGCTGCCCCCTCCTGTCGACACACTCTTCGCTGCTGACACGCAGGACCCCTCTGCTCGACCCCCGCCCAGGGTTCCTCCTCAAACAGGCCTTTCCTGACTACATTTGTCTTGTGCCCTTTGCATCACTAGACATTACTGACTCTGACCCGGGCACCCACTTTGCTGGCCTCACCAAGCACGAGAACAGCATATTTTCTTTCTTTTTTGGCCGTGCTGAGCCATGCCGAACAGCTTTGCAGATCTTAGTTCCCCGACCAGGGATTGAATCCGGGCCAGCAGTGAAGCACCGAGCCCTAACCACTGGACTGCCAGGGAATTCCCAGAATGGCCTCCTTAAAGAGCCTCTCCTTACAAGCAAGTGGTCCCTGAAATGGATGAAGCTAGGGCCCCATCTTGCTTGATTCTCACCCCCGGGGCCTTCTTATCCCACATAACAATTACTATCCACCCCCCACCCCGAAGTTCCACTTTCAGTCATCTCCGGCAATCCTCAAGCTTTCACCCTCCAAGACAGGGTGCTTTTTATTCTGTCCTCTGACTCTACTCCCCCCTTCCACTAGGGTTTTTCCATCATTTCATCATTTGCTTCACGCTGGTGACCTGATTGAGGGCAGGTAGTCCCATGTGACCCCTCATCAGTGCGTGTCCCCCAGGCCAGAAGCCCAGCAAGTTAGTGCGAAATCATTTCTTCTAAAGCCCTGACAAAGGAGGGGTCACCACCATGCTGGTCGCTCTCCCTGTTTATAGAGGCTGCAAGGGCTGGCAGATGAAAAGAGATCTCCTGCTAATTCACAGGAAGTAGAACTCATTGCCTGCGGACCAACCCCTGACACAGTTTTGGGTGTCTGAAAGAGGGAAAGAAACTCTCTGCTCGGTAGATTTGAGCCCAACTTGGAGACGAGAATATGGTGAGAAAGCTACACGTCACGGCTGTACCCCCATGCTAGACACCCTAACCCACAACCCACAGCTTTCTCCCCAAGCATCACCACTCAGCCGTTCATCAATATACAAATAGCTCAGCCACGGAACCTCCACCCCGCCCGCCCAAGCTCATCAAGCATCAGTGGCTGTGACTATTCTTATGACTTTGCACTGGCCCGGGTGATGGGGTTACTGGTAGACCCCTCGGGCCAACCATCGTGCAGAGCAATTGCACCACCTGGTGGAGAAGCAGGGAGTGTTGGAGAGCCCTACTGAGAAGGGCTCAGGCCACTACACCACCCAGCCTGGGGCAAGGGATGGAATCCCTTTATAGGCAACTGGTCCTCTGGAAGCAGTGTCTGAATGACACTCGCCTCCGGTTTCCTATGCATGGAACATTGCTACCAGCTGGCCCTGCTATTGCCTGTACATAAAACCCCTCTGGTTATGGGAACTGTGATCTCATGGTCTCTCCTTTGCCCTCAAGGATCGGTCCGAGGAAATAGCATTCCTAAGATCCTCTCTAGCCTGGAATATAAATGTGCGCAGGATCTTCACGTGCTTTGGATGAGCTCCTTGGGAGATGAAAGGGCAGCTGCCTATGCCATGGCCGAATGTGCCCCTGAAGACCCCGGGGAGCCCTTCACAGTTAGGTTCACTAGGGAGCAGTAGCAGATAGGCAGCTCAGTCCTCAGGGAAACCTCCGAGTCACATCAGGGTAGCCTACGACCAGCCCATGACCAGTACCCCAACTGACAGCCACATGGGAGGGTCGCCGGGGTGACTGCCTCTCCACAGCACCTCACCTCTGAGATGGACTCATCGCTGGAGAGGATACCATCTCAGACGACACGGCCCCAGCCCAAGTTTGCCACTGGAGACGCCTATACCTCTTGCACCAGAGATGACACCCCAGGGACACACCACCACGTCAGAGACCTCACCACTTCACTTGCCCAGATGTTGAAATATTACCCAAATCTTCGAACAGATTCCCAGAGTCCCCGAGATCACTCACCTATTTTCGTGGCTGGACGCTTTAAGTTTGCGACAATAGCTACGAACAACATCGCAGATTGTATGTTATTATAGGATTTGTACATTTAGGATTTAGAGGTGTACTTCGTAGGTTACAATGTGCCCTCCCCCTGACTTCTAACTTATCTGCTACCCAGGCTGTTAATGTCCTTTTACCACTGACTCTGATGCCTCAGCATCACAGGGTGGATTGTAGTGTAAGTGCCAGACAGTGAGGTGTTTTGTTTTGTTTTAATCTTTTGGCCGCACTGTGAGGCATGTGGGATCTTAGTTCCCCGACCGGGGATCGAACTCAAGCCCCCTGTGTTGGCAGCGTGGAGTCTTAACCACGGGACTGCCAGGGAAGTCCCTGTTTGGTTGGGTTTTTTTAATTTTAAAGCAAGTGCCTGATAAACTCTTGATTGCTGAGATATCCACTTCAAAGACAACTACATCACATAAACACGTTGCCAGTCGCACGACGAGGTAAAGAGTCAGCCCACCCCCACGTGATGCTGCCGCAGCTGGGCTGGAGACCCACTGCGGGAACCTCGCTCGTGATGAGCAGCACTGCTTTGTGGCGTAAGCAGAGGAACGGCTCCTGCCTCATAAAGCCCACAGTCCAGTCTAGTCAACAGGTGAATCCAGTGGAGCACAATTAGTTTCTAGCAGAGGGGAATACAAGGCTTGTGAGACCTCAGAGGAGGAAGCATCAAACTCTGGTTGAGGCAAAGGAGGCCTGAGACAAGTTGGAGGTGCCGCAGAATGCCGAATTGTTTACTGGCCACTTAGCCTGCTGGTCACCCGTCCTTGATTTCTTTCGATCACACAGATTGAGCAGGACCCCCGGTAGCAGTCCATCTATTCTGCCCCAGTGCTTCCAGGCCCTCTTAACCAATTCCATCACTCTGTGGGCCAGGACCCAGCTGCGCGTCCCGCCCTGCCACCATCACGGTAACTGCATCCTCCTGGCAGCTTCTTGTAGCAGCGTCTCCTACCGCCCAGGCTGGCCTAAAGAGGGCGGGGGGGGGGGGGGGGGGTGAACTTCTCAGCCAGCCTGGTGCCCCTCCCCCCAGCACATTCCTTCCTACTCTGGTGCGCCTTCCGGGCCTTCCCGTGGAAGGCAGCCACTGGGCATCCTGCTTTACACAGCACGGCCACCCTACCACGCCCGCTTCTCTCAGCCTTAAATCCCTTCTTCCACCGTCTGACTTGGTCATTCTGGCATGCGGCCCTCATTTAGTGGGGTCCAGGGCTGGTTTCTGGCTTCTAGGAGCCATCCAGGCAGCAAGTGGGCAACCATCCCTGGGGGACCCGGCTAGGGTGTTAAATCCTGTGTCCTGGGAGAGGGCTCCCAAATCAGTACTCTCTCCCTTATCTGATTTTATGTTCTGACCCCACTTGATCCAGGGCTCACCTGGCCTTGCTGGCGAGGTCCTGCAGCTCCCTTGGGACACGGTTTCTTTCCTCTCTTATCAGGCCCAGCACACCTCCAGGAGTGGAGGTGGGGCCTGTGCTGAGGAGCCTGCGGTCCTGCAGGGCCCTGACCCTGGCCTGGCAGACCCGCCTAGCTTGAACGTTTAAGCTGCTCTACGACTACACCCTGGACCCTGGGCTCAGCTTTCTCACCAGGGAGCCGCGGAGGCTGGGCAGCTCTTTCTGCGCTCCCAGGGAGGCTCTCTGGCCTTCACGCCTAGCTTTTAATTGGCTATGAATCACTCAAGGCTTTTCCTTTCCTTTTTCTGAAGGCTGAATTGCGCTTAGCAACAGCTACGCCGTTTCACCAGCCTTACAGTTTCTCCCTCCACCCCCCCGTATTTCACCAACTCCTGACATATGGGAAAACCCACTAGTGAATCCTCTCCCACCAGACTACCATCCCAGTTTGTCAGGGGTGGAAGTCTGAACAATTTCATCGTTACCTTGTGCCGCGGGCGGTGCCGCCCCTACCAAGGGGGAAGGTGTCCTCACGGCCACAGCCGGCAGAGAGCGGTCCAACTCCAGAATCCCGTCCTAGCGCCTGCTTTCTGGAGTCCACCCACTCCTGGTACCAAGAGTCACAATTCGAGCTTCCGGGGAGCAGACTCTGAGATGAAGGTCAGCACCAGGAAGTGTATCAGGGAGTGCTTCCAGGATCAACACCTGGGAAGGGAAGGGATGGGCCTTTAAAACCCAGCTGACCAATCAGGGATGTGGGCCGCCCAGAAAGGCAGCATGACCTCGGTCAGGAAGATTCTCTGCAGCTGAGGAAGTTGCCAGAGAGGGCTGACGGCTGAGGGCTGTCTGTGGGCAACACTCCCTGCAGCTGGGCTGTGGGTCAGCGCTGGGGGGCGTCTGCGCAGCTCATCACCGTGTCCGCTAGCTGTGGGTACAGATGTCGGCTGATAAGTGACTGGTGAACGATGTGACACTCTCCAGATGTGAACGATGACCATCCTCTTCTGATCGGTCCAGACATGTCAGTTAAATAGGAAGCTAGGTGATCTGTGGACAGAGAAGGTTGGCCATATGCCCTAATTGTGCCTAAGGAAGAACAGGAACACTGGATGGGCCAAGTGAAGTAAGTCAGAAAGAGAAAGACAAATGCCATATGCTATCACTTATATGTGGAATCTAAAATATGACACAAATGAACCTATCTATGACACAGAAACAGAATCACAGACATAGAGAATAGACTGGTGGTTGCCAAGGGGGAGGTGGGTAGGAGAGGGATGGAGTGAGAGGTTAGGGTTAGCAGGTTCAAACTATTATATATAGGATGGATAAACAACAAGGTCCTACTGTAGAGCACAGGGAACTATATTCAATATCCTGTGATAAACCATAATGGAAAATAATATGAAAAAGAATATATATATATGTATAACTGAATCACTTTGCTGTACAGCAGAAATTAACACAACCTTGTAAATCAACTATACTTCAATTTAAAAAATTTAAAATAAACAAATAGTAAAAAAAAAAAAGAATACTGTATGGGGCAGCCTCAGCAGGGCCCATTAAGCACACCCTGCCCTACAGAGGGTCTGTTTGCAAACGGAGACAGACTCCCAATTAATCATGGAATTTTTTAACTATACTTTTCAGTGTAACGCCTAATTGGAAACCACTTGGGTATGCAAATCTACTTTTTCAACTGCAATATTTTATGAAATTTAAATATAGATCAAGTATTCCTGATGAAAATTTAGCATCCTAATTGAGATGTGCAGTAAGTGCAAGTTACACACTGGACTTCAAATACCTAGTATGAGAAAAAGAATGTAAAATATACCATTAATAATTTTAAAACATGTTGAAATGATAATAATTGGATATACTGAGTTAAATAAAATATATACATAAAATTAATTCACCTATTTCTTTTAATTTTGTTTTTAGAAAGGCTATGAGATCATCTAAAATCACCCATTGGGCTCACATTACATTTCTAAGTCAGAAGCCAGGCACAGACTTGCAGTTTTCACACGGGCCACGAGGTGGCGATCTTATCCCGAGATTGCGGTTTTCAGACTCCAGGGGGAGGGTTGGCAAAATGGTTGGCAGAGGTGAAGGCAGGTCTTGCTAGTGAGTGAAAAAGTAACTTAACCAGGCTTGTGTTCGCTACTGCATTTTTATACGCATCACATCCCACATTCATTTGCATGTAAATGGTTTTGATGTAGATATAAAATGCTTGTACTTTCTTCTCCAAGTTTGAGCGGTTCCCCCACCCCAAACCTCCAGTGTTCCTTAAAACACTGGGCTTTAAATAATATTTTAAACACTTTACTTTGTGACCCCACTCCTCTGCCCAATGCTTCTCTCTCATTTTTCTTTTCTCCCTTTCACATGTTCATTCTCCAAATCAGGTTCCGCTATCTGGGGGCTTTCTTCCGTGTCCTTAGTAATTAAAAGGTATGTGTAACCTTAATTTCAACATATTATGACCCACTATCAGAACACCTAAAATTCCACCAGGAAGGGAAAGATATTAGGAAGAATACTGAAAGGGAAATGCAGCAGGGAGGCCAACGCCATTCCTTCCCAGATGCCCGGTGAGTGTGGACTACCAGCTGCCTTCCCAAAGACTAGCCTTGTAGAAACTCCAGGGGGAAAGAAACATCAAGATGTGGGACCTGGGAGAGGATGATGTGAACCGGGGTTGTGCATGACCGACGTGTGGTGCCGTGACTGATGGTGGAGGCTATAGGTCTGACTGCGGGAGGATAAAATGGGAAATGAACTGTTGTAATTCTGTCTGCTTCTCCCCTAAACCCAGTGCTTTGGGGGCAATAGATGCCTGCTCCAGGCCCATCTATGACAGAGAGTACAGGAATCCTCGGGATAAACGGGTCTTACAGAAATGTGCAGTGAAGAACCAAGGAGGATAGAAAGACCATCTCCACAGTCCCACCCTGCCTTCCCAATGCCCATCTCCGGGGACTGCACAGCCTGGCCGAGACTCCTGCCTTCCAGAAAGCTCCATGGGCCAAGCTGCCTCCAGCAATTAGTCCCTGGGCTCTACCCCAGGATGGAGTCCTGAGCAGGGAGGATGAGATACAAAGACTCAGCTTCCTGAGAGGGGGGTTGCTGGGGTACTGGCGGCCTGGAAAGGGAGCAGTAACACCTCCCCTTAGTGGGTGACAGGGACCACTGCAGCCCCACGTCGCCCAGGCCACACAGAGAGACATGTGCAGACAGATGCTTTTACTGGGGGCTCTCAGGGTTGGGATGGCAGGAGCCCTGGGCTCAGTTGGCGGCCAGGATCTGCTGTACCCAGGGGATGAGTGCAGTAACACGGGCATACACAGCAGGTGTTGATGTGGAACAAGTGCCGCTGCCCCAGGACACGATGCCCACCAGGGTCCAGGCTCCATCCTTCTGGCAGACCAGGGGGCCACCAGAGTCGCCCTGCAGGAGGAGATAGGACTTGTGTTCAAGCCTGAAAGGGAGTACCAGGGCCCTGGTGTGCCCTGACCTGGCAAGTCCAGGGGTGCAGACAAAGCACAAGTGGGGGCCCAGTGGTTGTGCACAAGAGACTCAGATCTGCTCAGATGGCAGCCCCAGCCCTGCCACCTACTCCTGGACGGCCTGGGGCAGGTGGCTTATCCTCTCAGCCTCCCCATCAGCTGTAAAACAGGCTGAAGCGTCCAGCTCGTGGGGTTGGTGTGAGATTAAATACGCCTGGGAAGCCCCACACCACACCTGGCCAGAGCCGGCCCTCACCAGGGGCATCTGGTCCAGCCCTTCACTGGGGCACTGGGCAGGGCATGAAGTTAGACAGGTCATGGCAGAGAGGAGTGGGCCTCCCGGCCTGGCCAGGGGAGGCACGGGCAGTGAGGGCGGGCAGGGTGGCGGAGCCAGGCCGTACCATGCAGGAGGAGACGCCGCTGGCGCCCGCACAGATCATCACGTCGGTGATCTTGCTGCCCCAGTACTTCCTGCAGTCGGCGTTGGACACGATGGGCAGGGTCGCCTGCTGCAGCTTGTCGGGGGTCTTGAGAGCTGGAAGGACAGAGGGCGTGGGGTCAGGGCCCCTCATGCCACCAGCCCGCCCCTGGGGAGAAGAGACCAGGGGCCGCCTGAGCCCCGCCCTCCCCCTGCAAGGTCCCAGTCTTCCTCCGTCGCGATGATCGTGGACACCGAGCTTCAAAGCTTCCCTGACACCTTCAGGGAGTCTGGGACGCGGCTCCTCTGCGATTCCACACCAGGCAGCGGGGACTGTGCTTCCAGCAGCTGTTGCAACAGGTCCTGCCTCGGAGCCCCGTGCGCCCTGGGCCCTGGCGGCCACTGTGTGTGGGTGGAGGGGCCGTCCTTCCCCCCCAGGGAAGGGGATGCACGTCCTTCTGACCGGGGACACCGGAGGGGACCCCCGAGGGAGCACCTCCCTCCTGCTGCCCTTTCCCGGCTGCTTCTGTCCTGTTACGGGACCAGCCGGGGGCCGTGGCCGGGGCAGAAGAACTCAGGACACTGAGGAAGAACCTGCGGATGGAGCAGCGCTGGGGGGCGGTGGGGGGCACCTGGGCGCTCAGGCCCGAACCCGACCAGGACACTGGACTCCGGGCCCAGACTTCAGGGGCGCTGGACGCACCAACCTCCTCAGTCTGAAGGGAAATCCGGGCTGTCCCTCTCCTTGCAGGTGAGAGGGGGCAAGACTTGCTGGTACTTAGGTGTTTCTTCAGAAACTGTTTACGTATATATTATTAACCCTCATTTTTATTCATGTCTGGTAGTCTTTTAATTAAGAGCGTTTTAAATAAAGAAATGGAAAGATTGATGACTGTATAGGAATTTAGACTAAAACATTTTTAAAAGAGCCATATGTGTCCCACCTGGAGACTCCTGCGGCTCAGGCCGCCCCTACCCCGGACACGCCTCGTGGATGGAAAGGCCACGGCCCGCTCACCGTTGTGCTTGGTCTTGCCCCAGCCTGTGGTGGCGCACAGCGTCCCGGCGGGGAAGTCGTTGTTGGCGCTGGGCAGGCACACGGCGGACACGGTCTCGGAGAAGCACGCGGGCGTGGCCAGCTTCAGCAGGGTGATGTCGTTACGGATGGTGAGCATGCTGAACTTGGGGTTCTTGAAAACCTGCGGGTGGGGCCCAGAAAGGCGAGGTGAGGCCCTGGGTTAAGTCGGGGATCTGCAGGTTTCAAGGAGACCAGCTCCTTTCCTGGCGATCCATTCAGCAGAAACAGACCCATTGGAGCCCGGAATGAGAATCCTGAGACCGGCCTCATCCACGCTTGGCTCCTGTCTCTCAAGCGGCCGAAGGGTCTTCGTCCCCCTGCCCCTGCCTGCAGCCCCGCGGCTGATCCCGGGCCGGCCCAGCAGGGCCTGGGCGTACCTTGGCAATCTTCAGGACCTGGATGTTCTCGGCGTCTGAGCCCTGGTCAAACTCCCCGGCCACCACCAGGTCAGAGGTTCTGGGGGAATCACAGGGGGGTTGAGGACTGAGAATGTGCCCTACTCCCCTCCCCCACCCAAGACTGCAGCCCGAAGCAGAACCCTGAGCCCGGGCCCTCACTTGACCCCTCAGTGGGCGGCGGTGACCACCCAGTCCTCGCTGATGAGGGAGCCCCCGCAGAAGTGGAAGCCTGTGCTGTCCTAGAGGAAGATTGGAGGGTTAGCCCCGCCCGGACACCAGCAAAACCAATCTGGGCAGCAGCCCCCAGCTGGGCTGATATCCCAGTTCATCCCCCTACTCGTGTGCAGAATCCTCCCTCACCTGCAGGGACACCTGCCAGGGCCAGGAGCCGGGGACAGCCTCCTCCACGTTGACGATCCTGGACAGGCCACTCAGCACAGGGTCGATGGCAGGGACCCCGCAGCCTGAGGAGGGCGAGGGGACGGGGAAGAAGGTTTGAGACCCGGAGCCAGTCTGCAGAAATCCTGGTTTGTAGCTCAGCTGTCCAGGCTGACTCAGGACCCTCTGCCACACTCCCCCCTCCTCCAAAAAACTTCTCCTGGTGCCTTCCACCTGTGGGCTCAAGGATCCCCACATACAGCCTGCTGACCCCAGTGTCCCATCCAGGGATGCAGAGGAACAGGGCTGCTCCACCCAGGGCCACCCTGCCTGAAAGAGCAGAAAACAGACTGAGTAATCGGACTATCCTGCCTGGACTCCTAGGCCCACCCTTCCTTGCTGTGAAGCCTCAGACCAGTCACTGAATCCCTGATGCTCATTTTCCTCAGTAAACTGGGGAGCAAACAATCTCACCTCACAAGTCAAAGCTCATCCATTAGATTGGTGGGGCCTGGGGGGTATGGAATTAAAATCTGATAACCCCAGCCCCTGGGGAACCCAGAATTCTGACAGCCGATGGGAGTATGTTTTACACTGAATTCACTAGTCCCAGAGATTTCAGGAACTCTTCATTGTATAAAGTTTTAGTTAATTATTTAATACAACGGGACTTTGATTCCACGCCATAAAAGGACACATTGAGGAAACTGAAAACAAAGGACCTGAATTGTCACAAAACAATGAGAAAAGTCAGGTGTACTTAATGTGTCCCTGACGCATTTGCTGTGTCAGGACCAGGTGAGTTCTCGGCACCTGCATACAGGTTTTACAATTTGGCGACAGTAAAGAAAGTTGGGCAGGTACAGCCCTTACGACCAGCCAGGCCACCCGGGGGTCATGCAGGCCTTGCCGCATGCCCGGACCCACATCCTGCCCCTGGGGACAGGGGGATGCACCAGCCACTCACTGAAGGTTGTTATCACCAAAACATGTCATCAACATAATCCATTTTTTTGTAATAGCAAGAAGATTACAATATCAGCTGTGATGTATTCACACAGCTGAGTGTTTTACAGCGATTAAAGTGAACGAGCTGGGTCTTCATATTAACTGGGATAAATCTAAAACCACCCGGGTGGGAAAAGGCATGTTATAAACCTGTAGCGGATAATACAGTTCATGTAAGTTTTTACAAATGTTATACTGTGTTGATGGATTTATGAATGTGTAGTAAATTTGTAAAATCCCACACAGAAATGATACACAGTGAGCTCAGAATAGGGATCACCTTCCGAGGAGGAGAGGGGACTTTAGCTGAATCTGTTTTATGTTTTAAAAAGAAATACCTGAAGCAAATCTGGAAAAAGATAACATTTGCTAAATCCCAATGGAAGGTACATGGATGTCATATTATTTTTTGTATTTTTCACTATTTCGTCTTTTTTTAATAGAAAATGAAACGCTTAGCAAGTGCCCAAAAGAGTAAATAAAAACCCCAGGTGGAGGCCGTGGGAGGGCTCTTGCTACCACACCCTTCTCTGCCCACAGCTCCCCAACTTGAGCCACTTCTGAGGCCTCAGATCTCGGTGCGGCCCAGACTGGCCTTTTCCACCCTTCCAGTGCAGGGTGTGAGGGCTCAGAAAGCTCCAGAAGGACCCCTCTCCTCCCTGCAGGCTCGATTGCCTGTCGGGGTGTGAGGCCCAAGGGAGCAGGGAAGGGGGCTCAGATCTCCCTATTGGCCAGGCCCCCAGGTTGCTCCGGACAGAGCCCCTCCAGCCTCTGATGGGGCCTGGCTGCGGTGCCATTAGGGGCTCAGGGAACTACTCCTCAGCCCCCTCCCAGACCTGGCTGGCGCCCCTAGCCCCAGCACTCACTGAAGGCGGCCCCCAGGAGGGCGAAGCAGGAGAGGAGCCAGAGAAAGGCCATGCTGCTACAGTCAGGGAGATATGGGGCACCTGCCCCAGCGGCTCCTTTTACATCCCCTGGGACCCCACAGGCCCAGCCCAGCCAGAGAGGCCTGAGTGCCACCCTCCTGTTATCCAGGAACCTTGGGCGATAAGCGGGATGGGGGCGGGGGGACCGAGCCCCCTTCGAAGCCTGTACTGGCTCTCAGCCGGGGACATCCAGCCCCTGGAAAAAGGGCAGCTGCCCTGGCACAATGTCACCCAGGAGACTTGGCAACGCCTGGCATCCCCAGGACACTGCGGGCAAGGCCAGTGTCCAGGCTGGGAGCTCAGGCCCTGCATAGCCCAGCTCTGCAACCAGAACGCAGGGCCGGGGTCTCTGCCACTCCCAGTGCACCAGGGAGGATTCCCAGCTCCTCAGTACAGGCAACCCCACCGTGGGGTCCAAAGAATCCCAGGTGGTCATCACTGGGGGGCCTCGCGTTCTCATCGAAGAGGGTTTTCAATGTGAGACTCGGGATGGGACTTCCCTGGTGGCCCGGTGGTTAGGACTCCGTGCTTCCACTGCAGGGGGCACGGGTTCGATCCCTGGTCGGGGAGCTAAGATCCCACACGCTGTGATCCTACATGCCTCGTGGCGCGGCAAATAATCTTTTTTGAAATGTAGTATCATACAGAGACGCCGTGTCATCCAGAGGGTCACCTTGAAACCAGCCCAGCCAAGCAGCTTCAGAGCCTGCATGAGGACACATGTAGGCATGAAGGAATCGCCCCCATGGGCGGCTGTGGGCGGGTCACAGGCTGGCAAACATGCTGACTGGCTGTCCCTTATCTGCCGCTGAGCTCACCCGAGTTCTCTTCTCCTGTGATCATTCTCAACTTAAGGAACTGGTCGCCACATAACGCTTGAGTTTCATGTAAAATGGGGCTTTGATTTCACACCATCAAATGACACATGGAGAAAACAGAAAAACGATTTTAATTGTCACAGAACAATGAGAAGAGGACAGATGTAGGTAATACACCGGTGATGCATTTGCCGTAAGTGGAGGCCAGAAGACTTGTCAGCACCATGGGCACAAGTTCCTTCTCTCCCCTGGGACAGCGCCTGATCTGGACACTGGAGCACCCACGGGAACAGAGCACAGGGCACCCCTGCCCTCATGGGTCCAAGACCCCAGTGAGAGGCACAGACAGGAAACAAACAAGAAAAGTACACGATGAGTCTGAGAAACCCGGAGAGGGTAGGGTCTGGAAAGCTGCTGCCCTGGACGATCCAGCCTGGGCCTCACTGCTGAGCCAGTTTGAGAAGGAAAATGTGCTGACTGGGTGAACTGCATCTGCTTCCAAGGCCTCCGGGGCTCTGTGGCCACAGGGCCATGGTCATCTAGGGAGAAGTGGGTCAGAGCAAACAGGACAATGTCACAGGTCTTGATTTGGACTTGATTAGTTTTGAAGTTTTGTCTCTGAGTTGTAACTTTAGCTTTGTTTCTGAGTTGTAAATTTAATTTTGTTTTAGAGTCGTGTGTTCTCTGCAGGGGGATGTTCAAACTATTTAACCACTGTTGAGCAGGAGCTCTGACCAGGGAGAACAGTGTCTTCGGCAGGGACTGGCCCGCAGAGGCCCCGAACCCTGTTCTCTGGGGGGAGGGCGGAGACAGCCAAATTTGAGGGAGCAAACAGACTGGGGCCAGCAGCTACTTGGTAACCGGGTCTGAAGCTTTGTGATATTTTAGCAGACTGGGTTCCGGCCAGGGATGTCAGCCCTGGCTTTGAGCATAAGGAATCCATATTGAATTCCAGGCCAAGGTAATTTATGTAAATATTAACATTTGCTGTTTCGTTTTGTTTTTCCTTCACTCATTCCAAGCAGGTAGAAAAGACATTTGTATTTTCCTCGCCTCGAGGACTTTTCCAGAGCAGGAAACGGAAGCAGCCTGAGGCCACTGGCTCTTGAGGTCTGTTGGGAAAGTAAACTCTTGGCGAGCAGAGTACAGGAGGGATATGGCCTTGGAGGGTATGTCACAGGGGAGGGAGCGTTTCCCTGGCCCACAGAGATTTGTTCACATTTGCTGGTGTGTTTCTTACCTTGAAGGATCCCTTTTTGCCCCACCCATCCCCTCGTTCAAACCAGACCACGAGGTGAGTACTCCCTGGGAGCAGGGTGACCGTCCCGTCACAAGGAGGGACAGCCTTTGCCACTCACCTAGAGCCATCTTCCCCTTTTTGTCCCCGTGGAGGGTTCCCCTGGAGGGTCACGCCACCCCAGCTCTGGGGGCGGCAGGGGGGAGAGCTCTGATGAACATAATCCCGTGGAGGCAAAGAGGTGAGGAGAAACCCAGCCCTTCTCCTCCTGCACTTTGGCTGAGTCCTGAGGGGAGGCGGGGTTTGGCGCCTTGGCCGCCATCTTGAGACCAGAGAAGAAAGACCCTGACCAGAACCACACCATCGCCCAGTGCTGAGCGAAAAGCCTACAACTGCACACTTCCAGATCCCTGCTGTGTGAGAAAAGCAAACCACTGTTGTTTAGCCACTGTTAGCCACCTGCTCTATTACTAACAGCATCTGAAGTGATACAGACTAGCTGTAAGAATGGTTGTGGATGTCTTCCGTTTTCCCCTTCAGATCCACTCTCCATCCTTCTCCACCTTGCTGGCCTACAGCAAGACTGACCCTCAGGGACAAGACTGCAGAACAGCTTCCAGGCTCTCAGGCTTCCTGTTGGGGTCAGAGCCAGAGATG